AGCACGTCTGTATTTTCTCCTTGCAATTTAGTGGTAAAAAACACAGTGAATATACCTTTTCACTTTTTGAAGTACACATAACACTCGGATTTAAATCCGAGGTTTTCGCATTTATTTCTAACTAAAATCTGCTAAATACTAGTTAGTAAGGAACAAGCTTATACCTTGGAACTAATATGCTCTCGTGTTTTCTGAAATTTTTTTTTGAAAATCTTTATTCTGATTTTGTAGAATTCTTTACAAGATGAGCCTTTTGAGAAATCTATTTGCAACGTTTTTATTCAGTTTTTTTGTGCTCTTACAAATGACATGTTGTTCAAAACGAACGGATGAAAAATGACGGAGATAAAAACAAAAACAAAATAGACATGACGTAGTTTTTGTTACGTTTCTCATAGTTTTTCATGTTTTAACACTTATAACTCCATCAAATCAAATTGTAGGAATTTAAAAAGTTTTTTTTTTATAATTCCAATTTGATGTGACGAATCAATTAATGTAGAAAAAAAAACAAAAGTATATCTTAATGTCGACTATAAAATAACTCTGTTGGCGAATGTTCGACTGACAGGAGAAACATCTCTTAGAATATATAATCAACACATACCTTTGTTTTTTTCTTCTTAGTAAAAAACTTCGAATAAATTTAAATGTTCCATTGAAATCCGTCGAACAAAAAGATATTGAATTTGTTCATCGAACAATAGATGAAGATCGTAAAATGGTTATTCAAGCTGCAATTGTACGAATAATGAAAGCTCGACAAACATTAAAACATGCATTATTAATGCAAGAAGTTATTCAACAATTAAGTTCACGTTTTAGACCGAAAATTCCTGTTATCAAAGTAAAATTAAATATTTATTTAAATAAAATAATATATATGTTCTTTTTTTAATTTTATTTTAGAAATGTATTGATATATTAATTGAAAAAGAATATCTTGAACGTCAATCGAATGAAAAAGATGTTTTACGTTATTTAGCATAAGATAATTATTGTCACTTATATGTAAACAAATTCGAATTTTTACACAGAATCTTTTCTTCTTTTTTTTGTTATTCATTATTCAATGTGTATATCGTTCTATCTGTGTAGTTTACATAATTCTTACATAAAGCGAAAAAAAAAGAAAGTATCACTAAGAACTCTTATACTCATCGTGAGTCGTCCATAATAGTTCGTTCTTCGAATAGCCATATATATGTAAATATATATATATATAATGGGCTTAACTCTGTATGTCGTATAAAATGGCACGTTATATTCATTTTTTTCTGTGGGCTGTAATATTTTATTTCTTTTTCTTTTTCTTTTTTGCTATCTTGCAGCTTAACTCATATTAAAAAAAAATACTTGAAATTATCTCGGAAATATTTTATTAATGAATGCGGTGAAAATGATCATTTTGAAAAATTTTGTAAGTTCGATTGGATTATGTGTAGAACATAGAAACTTGATGTTTTAAAGTAGATCTGATATCTAATTGCTTCTAGTTTAGCAGAGAAATGTCGAATTCTATTGTTGGAAATTTTCATGGTGTTTTATAGATTTTTCGAGTAAACAATTGGTTGCTTCATTTTTGGTCTATTTAAGATATTGGGAAAAAAGTTCGCGACATTTTCTTATCGATATTAATAGAAAAATTTCTAAGAACTTTTTTTCATATAATATACTAAAAGATGCAGCGTGAAAAGTTCTATAATTTACATAGGACCACTTTTTTACTGCTGTACTTTTCGTTTT